AGAGAGAGAGAGAGAGAGAGAGAGAGACAGAGAGAGAGAGAGAGAGAGAGAGAGAGAGAGAGAGAGAGAGAGAGAGAGAGAGAGAGAGAGAGAGAACACACATGACACACGCATACTGGCAAATACACGTACGCACGCACATGCACATACACACGCACACAAAGGGAAGGAGGGGGCGAGAGACTGGCGCTCTGCGGCCGGGAAACATGTTTTGCAAACGCTTTTAGCGAAGCTCACTGGCCACGGCCTGGACGCTCCGGGACGCGGGAAGCGCGGCCAGACCCGAGCGCCATGATGGTGGCTGCGGTTCGCAGCCCGTGTATTGGAGGGGGAGCTGCAAATGATGCAATCCCCCGGCCGGCGCCCGAACCGCGATCCCTTCTCCCGGCCTTTCTCTTAACGTTCCTTTCAGAGGCGCGTCGAGGTTTCGCGCCCAAAACATGGATAAGGATTTTACTTTTTTTTTTAAATTGTCAAGTTTTTTATGTTCTAGTTCCTGCCCCTACTCTGAGTCCCCACGCATGACAAGTCTGAGATTTGGATGGTGGCCCGAGGGACTCGAGACTTGAGTTTACGTGGAAATAACTGCACTTTCGGTTCTCCGAGATCCGGCTGTGACTGACCCCACCCTTTTCCAACCCCACGCGAGTGAAATCAGGGAGGCGACCCCATAGGTTTCTAAGCAGACTCCTGGGCCCCTTGCCCCGTCAGCGTCGTTTGCAAGATTTTTTTTGCCTTATTTTTTTAGCCAGGAAGGCGGGGGTGGCAGGCGTAGGGTGTGGCTCAGGTGAAAGATGGCAAATGAAAAAAAAAATCCGTACTTTAAAAAACAGATCAGGGATCATAAGTGAACTTCTAAACGAAACACCTTTTAGCCCAAAGCGCTAGAAAAGCAAACGTGTCTTTTGGCGATGATGGTGCAATGGCGAAGACAGAGTTCCCTGGCGCCTAGAAAGGTCGTTCGGGGTGGCCAGGGCGGTGGGCACACAGTGGCCTGAAAGGCCGGCTACCTGCTCCTTCCCACTTATGAATGTCCACGGCTCCTCCATCTAAGTCTTCACGCCTTCCTTCCCCAAGTCCACACTTCCCCCAGTTCTTCCCTGCCCGGGTCTGCGGCTTGGGGCAGCTAAGGATGCAATGATGGGGGACACTTTGCAACGCAGGGGCGATCCCCAAAAGTGGCAGTGGCTCTCCACAGTTCCGCGTGCTTCGGTGACCGTCCCTTTGCCGCCGGCGAGCCGGGAAGGCTTTCGAAATGCGCGGGGCTGCGGATCATTGGAGCCCTGCGGTAGGGGTGGGAGCGGGCTGCTGCCCTGGAGGGTCCACGAACTCCGGGAAATTAGTCCTTTCGGGCAAGTCCCCCAGAGCTGTGGGGGCAGCGGAGTGTCCTCTGGGGAGGACTGCAAGCCTTCCATAGCGAGTTTCTTCGTCCGGAGGAGCGATGGTGAGGGAGGAAGGTTTTTGAAAAGTAGCCCTGCCCGCTTGCGCGGACAGAGGCGCGGCCGCTTTTTGCGGCCTGCGGGCGCCCGGGGCGCGGGAACTGCGCGCAGCAACCCGGGCAGTGCGGGGCTTGCAAGAAGCCGACTACATTAGAGACTTTGGGTCCAGAGGCGCCAGTCAGCCCGACTATGGAGTTGCCACTGTGACTGGGCGGGATCGGGGCTGCGGGACAGTTCGGGAGACTACCGCGCCATGGCCGGAGTGGTGCGGTAGCCGGTGGCTGATGCCGGCGGCCGCAAACCCGCAAAAAGACGTTCACAGCCGGCACAGGAGTTCAGGTCCTGGGAGTAGGACCATTTGAACCATCAGGTTATATGTAGATGCTTGACACAGACTTTCGGAGGATGGAGGACACAGTGACTTGGGCGGGGGTGTGTGGGGGGGTGCGTTCCTGTGGACTTGCCTGGCGCAGGGAGCATCCACCTCTTCCCGGTCCAGCATTCCTAAAATGCAACCCCTCAAAATAAACATTAAAAAGAAATAAGAAAGAAAGAAAAAGAAAATAAAGCTTTTTTTTTTTTTTTTGGAAGGAAAACCAGGTCTGTGCAGCAATAGAGAAGTGTGTTTTCCCATTTTGAATTGATTTTTTGACTCTTGGTCTTCCTGCGAGTCACCCTTTCAGTGTTTTAAACAGAACCACAAAAAACACCTTTAGTCTTTAATTAAAATAATACCTACTTGAAGACGTGGCCCAGCAACCAAAAGACCTATTTTCCCATCTGGCACAGGAAGAAAAACCAACTCTTGCCTTATTTTAAAAAAAAGGAAGAAAGAGGAAAAAGAAATCTTCGAATCAGAAACGTTAGAATTACCTTGTTTATAATTGCTTTTGGGTGTGGTAATGCAAATGGTGGTGTTTCAGTGTAGTTTAACTTAGATTCTTCACAACTGACCCAAAATTCTCTTAAAATTTACTTTTACACTTCAACCACATTTTAAAAATGAGAGTGTAATGTTTGGGGAATTATTTTTGATAAACCAGACTTCAAAATGCCCAGTCTTTATATTTTTAAAAGAAGCTCCTCTGCTGAGCAGATATGAGGCCACAGGACTCTCAGGTTCAGGACTTTATTTTTTGGGATGTGTTAACTGTGAATATGAGTACTCAGAAATTGAGGAATTTGTGTGTGACCAATTTCATTTAGCCAACGGGTGCAGGATAAACATCAGTTTCTTAAGGACTTGCATGTTTGGATATTGTGGGCAAGACTGAGGAGTCTGGCCATTGATTTCCATAGCTCACACTTCACAAGTGTAAATAGAGGATCTGGGGAAGTCCTTCTGTCACTTTCATTTTCAGCCCTGCAGATGGATGATCAGACTGCACTTACGTAAGGGACCCCCCCTTTTGCTTCTCACACTCATATCCTAGAAAACATAAATATTTTTAACTAAATGAGGACTGCTGACAGTCTTACATGAAAACGTGGCTTTTCCTCTTTCCACCTATCTGGATAGGAAGAAGACAAAAATGGCCACTACTTAATACATTCAGACCCCCCCACACACACACACCAAAAAAAAAAAATTGACTGCAATGTAGGCCTAAATATTCTAGATGTTTGTCACTTCACATTGTATTTGTGTAATTATCAGGGGCATGCCAGGCTGAATACCTCAAGCTCAGTAAAGCACATGACAGTTACACTCAGTCAATAGCTACGGAAGTTATCTTTATTGATTGCTTGATGTGTAACAATAATTGGCATCTTTTTCACACATTACAAAAATTATACTTGGCTCAGTATGCAATCTTTTAAGCATAGCCATATTATTTAACAAAAGGAGGTCTAGTCTACCCAATACAGCATTTACAAATGCACAGAACACGCCACTTTGGCTTGTATATGGTCTAGATTAAAAAAAAAATCTCTTTTTAACATAAATAAGTTAGTATAATTTTCAGTGTCTTTACAGAGTTATATACACAGGCACACTTCAAAGGTTTTCTCCTACCAAGGCCATGAAGAAACACTGTTTAAAGATGTAGCAACCATTTCACTTAGTCCGCAGTGTGCTTGTTCGCAAAGCACATTTCTTTTTTCCCTTAAAAGCAGCACTTTCCTTGGGGCAAATTAACAAGCAGGGTGAGATACTTTGAATTAAAAATTATTTCATTATTTGTGTAAAGTTACAGACTTCTAAAAATACCCAGGGATTTAGGATTATTTTCACTGTCTACACAGCTCAAGTGAAAAGAAAACTAAGACATTTTCTCAGCAAATCTGATGGGAAATGGTCATTTCTAAGAATCCGGAATCCCCTGTCATGCACTCCAGATTTTTGTCCAGTGTTACCTGGACTGATTACTACTAAACAATTAACCGGTAAATTCCAGTTTTAACGGAGAGGGAGAAAAAAAAGATATTTTTTAAGCTATTTGTTGCTACATAACAATCTTCAGAACTCCCAAATAAGAATAAGCTTCATGTAAAAATAAATAATTGTATGTAGCAATTATTCAAATTTTGATTTTAAAATAAAAGATCAATTCTTATTGAAAAGGACACTACATCTTTAAAGAAAGCAGTTTAAACCCTTCCCCCACCCAAGTTGCTTCTCTTCATGCAAGTCAAATATTTTTCTCCTTGCTACAAATTGAAGCAAGTTCTTCACACCCCCCATGCTGATTCCTCAGCCCCACCCTCCCCTCCCATCCCTAATGTTTATGTGCTACATAGTAAAAGATAAAAACTATATACACAGGTAGTACAATGAAGCAAATAAGGAAAAACCTAATTGCGCAATGCTACATCCAATGCTTTTAGAGGCAGATGGTTTAAGAGTGCCTAAAATTTTTAGTGTTATTATGTTGTTGCTTTCTCAGTGCTTATACAGGATGTCCATTCCATGGAGTCAGCGATATGTATTTAAATTTTTTCATGTATATCTTCCTTGCT